AGCCAGTGCTCATCTTGATAATAACCATGAAGCTGACAGACACAGTTACCTGCAAACAGCTGCCTACAGATTGAAAACCAAGCAAAAACCGCCAGATGCAGTGGCTTACGCCTGTAACCCCAGCACGTTGGGAGGCCGAGGCGGGTGGATCACGAGGTCAAGAGATCGAGACCATACTGGCCAACATGGTGAAACCCCATCTCTACTAAAAATACAAAAAAATAGCTGGGCATGGTGGCGGGTGCCTGTAGTCCCAGCTACTCAGGAGGCTGAGGCAGAAGAATGGCATGACCCCAGGAGGCAGAAGTTGCAGTGAGCCAAGATCGCGCCACTGCACTCCAGCCTGGGTGACAGAGCGAGACTCTGTCTAAAAAAATGAGCCAAAAAACCCCACAAAAAACAAAAAACAAAAACAAAAACAGACCAAAAAATGGTGTTTGGAATTGTCAAGGTCAAGTCTGGAGAGCTAAACTTTTTCTGAGGACTGTTTATCTTTAATAAGCATCAAATGTTTTAACTTTGTAAATACTTTTGTTGGAAATCTTTCCCTTCTTAGTCACTCTTGGGCCATTTTAAATCTCACTCTACTAGACTTTTAGGTTTCTGCTAGACTAGGTAGAACTCTGCCTTTGCATTTCTTGTGTCTGTTTTGTATCAATATTCATATTTATTTACAAGTTATTCAGATCATTTTTTATTTTATTTTATTTTATTTTTTATTTTTTTGTATTTTTAGTAGGGACAGAGTTTCACCATATTGGCTAGGCTGGTCTCAAGCTCCTGACCTTGTGATCCACACGCCTCGGCCTCTCAAAGTGCTGGGATTCATTTTTTTCTTTTTAATTCGCTCTGGGCTTAAACTTGTGGCCCAGCACTTTATGATGGTACACAGAGTTAAGAGTGTAGACTCAGATGGTCTTTCTTCTTTCCTTCTCTTCCTTCCTCCCTTCCCTCCCGCCTTCCCTTCTCTCCTTTTCTTTCTCCCTCTCTTGCTCCCTCAGGCCTCTTCCAGTTGCCCCAATGCCCAGTACTTTTTTTGAGTTATGTCTTATGGGAAGGGCCTGCACTTAGTGAAGAAGTGGTCACAGAGAGTTGAGTTACCTTGGCTTCTGGGAGGTGAAACTGTATCTCTATACCCTGAAGCTTTAAGGGAGTGCAGTGTAGGTGAGACCCCAACATAGATCCTCTCCACAGGCTCAGAGACTCAGGTCCCAGGACTGGACGTATCTGCACTCCTGCCCTCTGACCTCAGCCGCTACTTCCGATATGAGGGGTCTCTGACTACACCGCCCTGTGCCCAGGGTGTCATCTGGACTGTGTTTAACCAGACAGTGATGCTGAGTGCTAAGCAGGTGGGCCTGGGGTGTGTGTGTGGACACAGTGGGTGTGGGGGAAGGAGGATGTAAGATGAGAAAGAGGAGAAGAAAGAAATCAAGGCTGGGCTCTGTGGCTCACGCCTATAATCCCAGCACGTTGGGAGGCTGAAGTGAGAGAATGGTTTGAGCCCAGGAGTTCAAGACAAGGCGGGGAAACATAGTGTGACCCCATCTCTACCAAAAAAACCCCAACAAAACCAAAATTAGCGGGGCATGGTGGTGTGCGCCTAGTCCCAGCTACTCAGGAGGCTGAGGTTGGAAGATCGCTTGAGTCCAGGAGTTTGAGGCTGCAGTGAGCTATGTGATCCCACTGCTGCCTACTATCTTTAGGATACATTAATTTATTTATAAAAGAAACCAAGGGGCCGGGTGGGGAATACAGGAGATGGAGGGTGGAGCCCTGAGGTGCTGGTTGTGAGCTGGCCTGGGACCCTTGTTTCCTGTCATGCCATGAACGCACCCACACTGTCTACTGACCTCCCTAGCTCCACACCCTCTCTGATGCCCTGTGGGGACCTGGTGACTCTCGGCTACAGCTGAACTTCCGAGTGACGCAGCCTTTGAATGGGCGAGTGATTGAGGCCTCCTTCCCTGCTGGAGTGGACAGCAGTCCTCGGGCTGCTGAGCCAGGTACAGTTTTGTCTGGTGTCCCCCCAGCCGGGGGTTCCTTATCCTCCCATGTGTGTGCCAGTGTCTGTCATTGGTTGTCACAGCCTGCCTCTCACATCTCCCTTTTTCTCTCCAGTCCAGCTGAATTCCTGCCTGGCTGCTGGTGAGTCTGTGCCCCTCCTCTCGGTCCTGATGTCAGGAGACTCCTCAGCACCATTCAGCCTCAGGGCTGCTCAGGACTGCCTCTGCTCCCTCTCCTTTTCCGCAGAACAGACCCCAATCCCAATATTAGAGGCAGATCATGGTGGGGATTTCCCCATTGTCCCCAGGGCCTATTGATTAGAATGAAGCTTGAGAAATCTCCTAGCATCCCTCTCCCCAACCCCCGCCCCCCTTTTTTTAAAGACAGGGTCTCACTCTTGTCCAGGCTGGGGTGTTGTGGCAAGATCATAGCTCACTGCAGCCTCGAACTCCTAGGCTCAGGCAGTCCTTTCACCTAAGCCTCTCAAAACACTGGGACTGTAGGCATGAGCCACTGTGCCTGGCCCCAAACAGCCCTTTGACTTGGCTTTTAGGAAGGAAAAACGGTGCTTATCTTGCCCCTTCTTGTGTATCCACCCTCATCCCTTGGCTGGCCCCTTTTGGAGACTGAGGCACTGGGGGCTGCCTGAGAACTTGGGGCAGGGATGGTGGAGTGCTCTGAGGCAGGTGTTGAGGAACTCTGCAGACCCCTCTTCCTTCCGAAAGCAGCCCTCTCTGCTCTCCATTGCAGGTGACATCCTAGCCCTGGTTTTTGGCCTCCTTTTTGCTGTCACCAGCGTCGCCTTCCTTGTGCAGATGAGAAGGCAACACAGGTATTACACTGACCCTTTCCTCAGGCACACCCTTCCCCAACCGTGTGGAGTCACTTCATAAAAAGTGCATGCAAATGAGCTGCTCCTGGGCCAGTTTTCTGATTAGTCTTCCCTGTTGTGTACACACAGAAGGGGAACCAAAGGGGGTGTGAGCTACCACCCAGCAGAGGTAGCCGAGACTGGAGCCTAGAGGCTGGATCTTCGAGAATGTGAGAAGCCAGCCAGAGGCATCTGAGGGGGAGCCGTACTGTCCTGTCCTGCTCATTATGCCACTACTTCCTTTTAACTGCCAAGTAATTTTTTAAAGTAAATATTTATAATAAAATATGTGTTCGTCACCTTTTTTCCCCCAAATCAGAAGGATGGTATTTGAATTTCCTATTATTATTAGCACGAACTTAGTGGTAATGCATTTATTATCTTACAGTTCGGAGGTCAGCAGTCAGATGTCAGTAGGGCTTGCTCGTCCTGGATGCTCTAAAAGTAGAATGTTTCCTTGCCCTTTTCAGATTCTAGGAACCACCTGCATTCCTTGGCTTCCGGCCACTTCCACACATCACTCCAATCTCTTGCTCCCATTGTCACAACTCCTACCTCTACATTTGACCTCCTTGTCTCCTTAAGAACCCTTGGGATTACACTGGGCCTATCTAGATAACCAAGGATAATCACCCCATCTCAAAATCTTAATCACCAAGTTTCTTCCCATGTAAGGTAAGAACAATGCACAGGATTAGAACATGGACATTTTGGAGAAGGGGAATATTCTGCCTACCACAGATGCTATCAGGAAGAGGATAGAAATGACTGATACTGTTGGGATGGCCGTGTGTATGTGTGTGTGCAGTGTATGTGTTGAGGGGTAGGGCAGAGAGCAGCCCTAGGCTTAACATCACACTCAGGCTTTTGGGTTTTCACTTTGCTCAAAGAAAATGTGTCACCTCTTACAGTTTTTGCTTCAGGATGTGCTGTCTGGCCCAGCTGGCTGCTGGAACAGGGCGGTGCTATAGATGGCAGCTCCTCAGGCTGTAGGGCACAAGGCCTACGATGTTCCCCAGTTTTGTCAGACTTCCTGCTTCACACAGCCTGTTCACAGCCCCTCCTCAATGAGTCCAGGCCCCCCATCCCAGTTTCCCCTGGAAAGGAAGTCCTAATGCAGAGCAAGGACCCAGGCCCTGCTCATTCAGGGGTCCTTCAAACTCCATTGCCAACACCAAAGAGAGGCTTAAAGGGCCTTGAGAAGCTGGTAACATCAGTTTTATTGGGTTGGGGCAGCAGCCACAGCCTAGCTGGGGGTGGGGCCGGCCCTCACAGGTTGTTGAGTTCCAGCAGGGTCTGGTCCAAGGTCTGGTGAATCTCGACGTTCTCCTCCTTGGCACTGGCCAAGGTCTCTGTGAGGGGAAGCAGCGGGTGAGGGAGGAGGGAGACACAAGGGGGAGACGTGGGGGGGCAGGGCCAGGGGAAGGTGACATATAAACATTGAGTGGGTCAGGAGACACAGGAAGACACATGCATTCAGGGACCTCAGGGCCCCATGGCAGGGACAAGTGGATGGACTGACCAGGATGAGGGCAACAAGACGGACATGGATGCCTCACTCAAGGCCTTAGGGTCATGGAGGTGGGGTGGGGAGGCCTGAGTCATAAACTACTTTATCCTCCTCTTTAGAAGGTTTAAGAAAGTTGGAGACAGAAGGTAAGACAAAGACTGCGCCAGGAAAGGAAGGGCCAGACAGGAGACTTGAGGTAGAAAACAGACCTGCCACTGCAGTGAAAGCCCCATCTTGCTGATAGCCAACATTTTTTCCAAGCTCCATTCCAGACCTTTTGCAACCTTCTTGCCCCTGTCCTGCACCTCACCACCCTACTTCCTTTCCAGTCACTCTGTTTGATCCTGGAACCCCAGCTAAGTGCTCTGACGTCAGTGATTGGCGCCAGAGGGGGTCATGGTTTGACGGGGCTACACGTGCCCACATGCAGCGGTGAGTCAGAGCGTGGCAGCCAGGGAGCGTCTGTGCAGAGGGGTTTCAGCGTGGGCTACGGTGTTTTGTGGGTGGGCTCAGTGCAGGGGCTGGGGGTGTCAGTAAGAGTCAGGGTGTCAGGAGTGAACCAGTGCTCCGTGGTGGCGACAGAGGTGCTCTCTGGAGGGCAGGAAAACAGCATGGAGACCAAGTTCAGAGTTTATTAAGCAGCAAAGGGGGGTGGAGGGGACAGGTAAAGGATGAAGCCAGTGCCAGAGTGGGTGGTGGGCATGATAGGGGCTCTCCCTAGGCTGCTCCCAGCCTGGCTGTGCAATGTTGGCAATTTCTGCTCCTCCTGCCTGCTCCCCTTCCCATAGAGAGAACAGAAAGGAGAGGAGAGGAGAGAAGAGGGCTGAGGTGGCCACGCTGGTGTGGGGCTCAGAGGGAGGTGATGTCATTGAGTGCGTTGTCCAGTTCCTCGCTAATGGCCTTGTACTTCATCTTCTGGGCATAGACTTCATCTGGGGGGGTCCAGGGAGGCAAACAGGTGGGAGTGTGGGAAAGGGAGTGGAGGGAAAGAGGAAAGGAAGGAGAGAGGGCAATGGAAAGAAAAACAGAATCAGAGGTATGCAAAGACAGAGTGAGAGAGGGAGGCCAGGAAACAGGTTGGACGGCTGTCGGGAACTCCTTCTCCCCATCTCTACCCCATCTCTTTTCTGTCCTTCTCTGTACCCCAAATTGGCTCTACCCACAGAGGCTCCTGTCTCCCCAGGGAGCTGTGGGCACAGTGCTCTCGACAAGCAGAAGTGCTTGCTTTGCAGGGAGAGGGAGGGTGCTGGAGCCAGAAAGGGCAAACCTCCTAAAGCCGGAGGTAAAACTGCAACTTGCCTGAGAAGGCTGGAAGCGAGAGAAGTGGGAAAGTGAAAGGGTTATCACAGTATAAAAAGGAAAGGCAACTTTAGCCACAACACCATTAACAATAGAAATAGCCACAGACTCACAAATATCTGGATGTTTGCTTTTGCCAAATCTAGCTTAAAATAGTGTTCTCTATGAGTGTTGTCATGCAGACCTAGATGTTCAGTCCAACAGCTCTCTAGTTAATAAGCCAGTCTCTGAGCTAGAACTCTACTGCGTTACACTCGGGGACGCAATTGTCTATATGGGTGCCACTTAGAGTGTGGCATGAGGACCAGCAGCATTGGTAGTACCAGAGAACTAGCTAGAAATGTAAATCCTCCAGCCCAAAGTCAGCAATCTCTTTGGGGCAAAGCCAAGGAATCTGTTTTTAAAAATCTCCCAGTGATTCTCATGCATGCTGAAGTTTGAGAAGCACTGGAGTTGTTGTGCCATGGGCAACTACAATTACTTGAATTGTAGACATGGCCTACAGAGTTGGGGAGTTGGTAGGGTCCTAGGTGGTCCAATCCTAGTTTACTGGTAGCAAATAAAATGGGATGAGAAGGTACGGGACAGACTGATAATCACGGCAGGTGTGGACCTACTTATAAAGGCTTGTTTTACCTTCTAGGTCATCAATGGTTTTCTCCAACTTTGCCACAGACCTCTCAGCAAACTCTGCTCGGGTCTCAGCCTGGGGGTAAAGGCAGGGTGGGAGAAATGGCAAATAATTAGGCCCTCCCACAGACCACTGCCTAAGTCAAGCTTCTTGCCCATCCGAACCCTCAAGTGTCCTGCCACAGGCTGTCTCTGGCAAGGACTAGGGTGGCTTGAGGGGAGACTGGGAACTGGAAGAGGACTCTCACCTCCTTCAGCTTCTCCTCCAACAGTTTGATCTCCTCTTCATATTTATCTTCTTTGGTGGAATACTTTTGGGGACACACACAGACCATCAGTACAGCACCACCACAGATCCTTCATTTCTCCATTGTACCCCATAGGCTCCTGGCCATCTTGCCTCTGTTGAACACCCAGCCCCTCCCTGCCTTGGGCCCCTCGCCTCCCTCCCCTGTGGGACCCCATCCTCACTGCCCCTCTGCTCCCCTCTACCTTGTCCGCCTGGGCCTCCAGGGATTTCAAGTTGTTGGTAACAATTTTCAGCTCCTCCTCTAGGTCCCCACATTTACTGCAGGGGGTGTGTGGCAGGGGGAGCGGGGTGTGAGGGCACAGCGAAGCCAGACAGTGGAGATGGCACAGCGGGGGATGGGTGGAGGAGAGAAGAGAAGAGCAAAGTTGTGAGAGTGACAGCAGGCAGGGCTCAGAAGCCCCAGGCCCTTCCTGATCCCCAGCAGCTGAGAAAGAGCAGTCTGCGGTGCTGAGACGGAGGGAAGGTGAGCTCAGAGAAGGTGCCATTGCCCAGAAAGGTTCAGAGGGGTCGCTACCTCCTCCTCTGAGGCCATCAGGGACTTGAGGGCCTGGTCCATGGTTCGAAGTTCCTCCTCCAGCTGTCTGGCTCGGCTGGGGGCAGCGGGCAGGGGTCAGAGAACAGGGCCTGTCCCTACAGCCCCAAGCCTAGGATGCTACCTCCCCACTATGTGGAAGGCCCCAGGGCCAATGGGCCCTCTTGCCACCCCCGGGGATCTTTACCTCTCAGCCACCTCAGCTCTCTCCTCCGAGCGCTCCAGCTCTCCTTCCAGGATCACCAGCTTCCTGGCCACCTGAGGGAAGTGAGAAAGAGAGGGTAGATCAGTGGAGAAGGACTGGGCATGTTGCAGGCTGGGCAGCGAGCAGGCAGAGGGGCAAGGCTGTCACCTCTTCGTATTTGCGGTCTGAATCCTCAGCGATGTGCTTGGCCTCCTTCAGCTGCATCTCCTGCAGCTCCATCTTCTCCTCGTCCTTCATGGCCCGGTTTTCAATGACCTTCATTCCTCTGAAAGACAGGGAGAGGGTGAGCGTGGGGTCGGGACGAGCAGAGACAGGCTCCCTCCTCCTTCCCGGACCGTCCTCTCCGAGGCCCCAACCACCTCTCGCTCTCATCAGCCGCCTTCTCGGCCTCCTCCAGCTTCTGCAGGGCTGTAGCCAGGCGCTCCTGGGCCCGGTCCAGCTCCTCCTCAACCAGCTGAATGCGGCGGTTCAGAGAGGCCACATCTGCCTCAGCCTGTGGGTCAGAGGTCAGGTGTCAAAAAAGCCTCGTTAGCCTTGGATAAGGATCAGAGAGGCTCCAGAGGATGGCAAGATTCTTCTCAGAAAGAACTGAGGCTTCCTGGTTTCTAGACATTCTATGTAATTTTTTCCCAACCAATCATCTTCTGCCCAGACTGTGCTCCAGTAAAAATGTGCATTCGGCCGGGCGCAGTGGCTCACACCTGTAATCCCAGCACTTTGGGAGGCCGAGACGGGTGGATCACGAGGTCCGGAGATCGAGACCAGCCTGGCTAACACGGTGAAACCCCGTCTCTACTAAAAAAATACAAAAAAACTAGCCGGGTGACGTGGCGGGCGCCTGTAGTCCCAGCTACTCGGGAGGCTGAGGCAGGAGAATGGTGTAGACCCAGGAGGCGGAGCTTGCAGTGAGCTGAAATCTGGCCACTGCACTCCAGCCTGGGCAACAGAGCGAGACTCTGTCTCAAAAAAAAAAAAAAAAAAAAAAGTGCATTCAGGCCGGGCATGGTGGCTCACACCTGTAATCCCCGCACTCTGGGAGGCTGAGGCGGGTGGATCACCTGAGGTTAGGAGTTTGAGAGCCGCCCGGCCAACATGGTGGAACCCTGTCTCTATTAAAAATAAAAAATTAGCCAGGCGTGGTGGTGGGCACCTGTAATCCCAGCTACTTGGGAGGCTGAGGCACAAGAATTACTTGAATCCAGGAGGCAGAAGAGTTGCAGTGAGCTGAGGTCGTGCCACTGCACTCCAGCCTGGGTAAAAAGAACGAAACTCCATCTCAAAAAAACATGCATTCCTTGCTTGACGAGCTCCGCTCCCCTGCTGCAGGGCCTCTCCTGCACCATGCACAGTTAGTTTCCCAAAGGTCACCTGCACACGAGTCCTCCTGTTCCCTGTGAGAGTACTTCAAGTGCTGGGGCCAGGTCTGATGCAGCTCTGATTCCTACACAACAAAGCCTGGCCCAGGTAAGGGGATGGGGAAAGAATCAGGCCAATGAGACGTCACTGCTGCTAAGAATAGCCAGTCAGAGAATCAAGCTCAGTGATGCTGGGCATGGTGGTGCATGCCTGTCATCCCAGCTACTCTGGAGGCTAAGGCGGGAGTTCAGCTTGACCCTAGGAGCCCAGCCTGGGCAACATAGCAAGATCCCATCTCAAAAAAAAAAAAAATCAAGCTCAGTGATGTCATCTGTTACCAGCTGCAAGGCAGACTCCCAGCAAGAAGCCCAAGAGCAGGCCTATAAGGGATACCCATGGCTGTAGCAAGGGGCTCCCTGCCAAGGCCAGCAGAGAGCTGGGGGCAATGCAGGGGCAGTGTGAGAGATGTCTACTCAGCCCCTGGGCTTACAGTAGGAGGCAAAACCATGGAGGTTTTGGAAAAAATTCATAAAAACTGGTCAAACACTGAGAAAAAGGGCAGAGCAAGGCGAGTGCCAATAAAGGAAAATGAGAGGAGCAGTGCAGCCTGGTGTTAAGAGCATCGGCTCTGAGTCAGACTTGTCTTTGAGCCACAGCTCAGCCACTCAACACTTGTGTAACTGTGGGCAACTTATTTAGCCTCTCTAAGCCTCATTTTCCTCCTTCACAAGTTGGAGTTAACAATAACAGTTCCTTTTTCTTAAGGCTGTTCTGAGATAATCCAGTGTTTCTGATACTCAATTAATCAACAGGACCCCCAGTGAGGCCCATCAAACTAAACAGGTTCTCTTACTCCATGCTACATTCACTGAATTGGGATGTGTAGGGTGGGGGCTGGGAAATCTTCTCTTTTTTTTTAAAGCCCCCTAGTGATTTTGATGATATACCAAGTTTGGGAAATCGTAAAATAACATGCAGAAAGCACTGAATACATTGCCTGCACAGGGTCCACATTCCATAAATATTAGATTATCCCCTTTCTCTGTCAAAAACAAGGACACAGAGACCCTGAGATTTCAGAGTGGAGAGGAGAGAGGACCTGTGTAGGGGAAGGAGGTGGAGGGAGAGGCTGGGGGCAGCACTTGGACAGAGCATAGGAAGCAGGTCCTTGGTAGGGCTGTAGGGCAGGAGAAACAGCACCATATATAGAGAGTAGATGGTAGCTTGTCTTCCAGGTGCTGAAGGCACCTGGAGCTTGGCCACCTAGAGTGACAAGGGCCCATCATGGGCACAGGGCCGAATGACTCAGTGTGGAAGGATTCTGGGGACAGCATTGGGGGTTGGGAAGAATCACTGTGGGGAACATTGGAGGACTACCCTAGAGAGAGGTGAGACTGTAAAAGAAAAACTCTTCATGACGGTGGAGTGACAAAAGACTGGAAAGTTTGGGAAGTCCTAAGGTCCTCATCATGGGACTGATATGTGCCATTTCCTGCCCCTCAAGCTCTTCCCAGTTACGGGGGCTGCTCTCTAGCCACAGGACAGGCACTACTGTCCCCATTAGAAAAATGGGAAGCAAGAGAGAGGGAGAAACTGAGGCACCATGTAAGTTGAGTGCTGTGTTCAAGGTCACCAATAAGCTTGGGCAGTCTTTCCTATCTACTGCTGGTGCCGTGGCTCTGCCTCCCCAGCTCTGTCCCTGTCCCCCCGCCCCTCCAGCCCCAACCAGCTCCTTGGGTTTCCAATCCTGCCTCCAGCTGCACTGGGCCTTGGTTATTTATAGAGTGTCAGATGCCCAGGGTCGTCTGTGCTAGCAGCTGCAGGTCAGCTCCCTCCCAAGTGCCAGGACTGGTGGAGAACCAAAACTGGAGGCTGGAGGTCACAGAAGCCCAACCCTGGGGGGCTGGGAACATGAGCAGTCAACACAAACAGCAATGTCATCTCTGATGTTCAGACCATGCTTTATGCTAATCTAACCACAGGTTCATCTTAAAACAATCTTGGGTGGAAGGAAGATGGGGAAACTGAGGCAGAAAATGGGGAAACTACCATGTCCAAAGCCATATGGCCATTCTCCTACCTTAAGGAGGGGGTTGGGAATGGCAGGAAGTGAAGTCTGGTTGGGGTTGTGGGTGGGCAGAGAAATCTCAGGGTAAATAACCTGTCCAGGTAGCTGCTTTGGCATCTGTGGCCCTGTCCCTCTGCCCTGTGGCCTGGCGTGGTCTCCAGGCTGACAGCTTAATGAGGGTAAATGAGGAGCCATTAGAACCTGAGCCGCCGGGGCCCCAGGGCACAGCAGGGCTGTTGAAGCCAGAGGTCAAGGCCAGGGAATTTCTAATGGCCCCTTAGGGTTGTAATTCAAGTGAGGCCTCATCTCTGGATCCCTCTCCCTCCTCCGCCTGCTAGTACCTCACACCCACATCTTCCCACCCCCAAATGGCTGCGGTCTCCTCTCCAATTTCAGCTGGAGGATTAATTGAGGTAGATGGTAAATTCTTATACCTTCCACCCCCACACTGACTCACTGCTTGATCACTGTACATTCTAAAAGCTGGAACCAAACAGAATTACAGGGCTAAGTCCTCTGGGGGGAGTGGTAGGTGGTTTTGATTTATACACTGTCTTGGATTACTTGTGTAAGGTTACCTTAACCCTGGTTACTGAGATGAAACTATTTCTTTCCTGGTGCTGGGGACACAAGGGGATAAGGTGCCCCTAATCCCCTTATTCCCATACCTGGGGGGCCCCTCCCTAGTGCCCTAACTCCTCCCATTGTCCCCCAAGTCCACACTCACATCAGTGGCCTTCTTCTCGGCCTGCTCCAGTTTCTCCTGGGCCTCCTTCACGGATTCAGAATACTTTTCCACCTCATCCTCTGTCCCCTTCAGCTTCTTCTGGAGGGCCTGCTGCTCCTCCTCCAGCTGGGACAGAGGGGACTTGGTCAGCCAGGGTGGGAGGGAGCCCAGGCCCAGAATGGAGATGCGGTGTGTGTAGGGGCCCTACTAAGATTTAGAGACTACTGAGATGGAAGTGGAATAACAGAAGACGGACAGTCCAGTCAAGGGTGCTGGTGGGACTTGTTGGGGGTACAGAGAAAAAACTTCAAGCTCCAAGGAGCAGGACCAACCATGCTCTGCAAGGGCAGGAGTGGAAATCAGGGTCCTGAGGCTTCCCCAGGCTATGGGAAGGGGAGATACGCGGCTCTGGCGAAGTCCCTGAGGGTACTGTGAATGCCCAGCCCGCACACTGGGTGGGAGAGAGCCCTGGTGGGCAGGCCCGGGGCTGGGGGACCCATGGCAGCAGCCCACCCCTGCCCTCGGCGGGGGGGGGGGGGGGGCGGCGGGGGGAGAGCAGGCTGCATTGGGCCCGGCCCTAACCTGCTTGCAGCGGTCCTCAGCTTGCTTCTTGTCGGCTTCGGCCTGCTCGGCGCGGTCGATGGCGTTCTCCTTGTCCAGCTTCAGCATCTGCATCTTCTTCTTGATGGCGTCCATGGCTGCGGTGGGGGGTGGGCAGGCCGGCAGGCGGTGAGGACCGGACGGACTGGGCTGGCTGAGCGGACTGGGTGCACGGGTGGCAGGAGAGGAGGACGAAGCGGGGCTGGGACGTCCCGGCCGCGCGGGCGCCTAAAAGGCGGGGAGGGACCGGGCGGGGCCGGCAACCAGGACCCTCCCCCACCTCGGCCCAAACCTTGTAGGGGCAGAAGCACGGCCCGGCCGGGGGGCGCGCCTGCCCCCTTCGCCCACCCACTGGGGACCGCCTCCCTTGGGCCTTGGGTTCCCGCCCCCATTCCCCTCTTCCCCGCCAGCCGTCGGAGGAAAAAGTAGCAGACGGTCGGCTGGAAAAACTCCGGCGCTGCGGAGGGGAGGGGACCCTTGGGCTGGGGGCTCCGTGCTTCCTCTGAGTGACAGCCGGACCCAGTGGCAGCTGCGGCTGGGGCCCCTGGGGCTATTTCGGGGCGTGAGCTCACGGCAGCTGCCCGGGCGCAGCGACGGGCGTGCCCCCCCTCAGCTGCAGCAGCCGCTACCCTTAATTTAGAAGTTTCCTGCAAATCCCCCCGGATTAAATGTCTCTTGGGAGGCGGAGCTCCTCGGCAATTTGAGTGCCTCAGTTTACCCAGAGTCCCTCTAAGTTTGCATTATCGACGTGGTGGTAGTAGCGGAGTCTCATCGGGGGCTTGGGGAAACTGAGGCAGGAGGCGAGCCCAGAGCCCCGGTGGCTGGGCTTGCTGCCCCCGGGACCGGCCTGACCTCTCATCCCCTCGCCTCCCCTCCCAGCCCCCGCCCCTGGAGCCAGGCCCTTCCTGCGAGCGCCCGGCGGCTCAGGACCCAGCTCCCCGCCCAGCCCCCCACGTGTCCCGCATATTTTCCACGCGGTTGTGGCCGGGCTGGTCACCGCGCGTTCCCCGCCCCCGCTCCCACCCGGACACGTCCCGAACCCCTCCGCTCCCGGACCCCAGCTCGCCTGGCCCCACTCCCCTCCGCGCGCCCTCCCTCTCTTCCCCGGCTCCCCGCGGACGCTCCCCTCTTTCCCAGTGGGCCAACTTTGTGCTGAAATTTCTTTTCTGCCCTTTTTTGGGATGTTTCCCCACTGGGAGGCGGAGTCGGGCTGGGGCGGGGAAGGCGGAGGGCGAGGCGAAGAGTCACTGAGCTGCAGGGCGTAGGGGGTCCGGGGCGAGGTGCCTTCTCCGACCCAGGCCGCCAAAGCAGTTCCGGAGCCGGGTCGTGGGGTCCGGGAGTCGGAGGTGCGGGGCGCAAGGGTGTTTGTTTTCGTTTTTCCCTGGGGTGGGGTGAGGGGAGAGAGGAAGTGGAGAGCCGCCCGGAGGAGGGGGAAGGGGAGGAGAGAACAAGCGGAGGAAGCCGGGAGGGAGCTGCTAGCCTCGCCCCTACCCTCCAGTCGTAGAGGGGCGGGAAGCCTGGATTTTGCAGTGGACTGGGGACCGTGGGAACCCGAGGCCGCGGGCCGGGGCGGTAGGGAGGCGGCGTGGAAATGCATTCAGATCTGTTTAGCTGCCTGCTAGCCACACGGAGAGCAACCCTGGCCTGACCTCGCAGTGTTCCTCTAACTCCGTGGAAGACCCCTCATCCACCAGTAGCCTATGCTGGACCACTGGGTTTCCCCTGCCCTTGGCGTCTCACATCCACCTAATCCTGGAGAGGCTGCTTCTACCAATGAGGTTCCTCCTGGGGTCGGTCTGGGCTGGCCTCTGGCCGCTCCTTACGCATTCTCCAGTCTAAGTGTTTTGTAGTTTTACTTCTGGTTCCTCCATTCATTCATTCATTTGACTGTCCCATGACATTGTTGTCAAATATCTTTTTAAAAGTTAATGCGAATATTATCTAAAATCCTCCAAACCCCTCCCTAATCCCTGTCCCCCCCACCTTTTTTGAGACGGGAGCTTGCTAGATTGCCCAGGCTGGTCTTGAATTTATGGGCTCAAGTGATCCTCCCGACTCGGCCTCCTGAGTAGCTGGGATTACAGGCGTGCGGGCACCCTGCCTGTTTTGAGGAGAAAAAAAAAAAAATCCACATTTCTTAATATGGTATAGAAGCCCTGCTGTTCTGGCTCTTGCCTGCCTCTCTGGCCTCATCTCCTTCCATGCCCAACCTCACCCCCAGTATTCAGACTTGTATCTCATGCTGCATTCGTAATGAGCTACGTGCAGGAGCTGGAAATAGCCATACTTTTCTTAAAGCTTCCACAGTTTATGCATTCTGTTCCCTCTCCCTAAAATGCCCTTCCCCTTGGCTGATTCCTAGTGGCCTTTAAGACTCAGATCAAATGTCAGCTTTTCTGGGAAGCCTTCCCTGGCCACTACTCTTCCTACCGCCTCACCTAATAGGTGCGTGTTCTTGGTGCGGGCTCTCACCCTCATCCTAGTCCCATGGTATAACTGTTCTTATACCGGTTTGGCGCCTCCGCCGGTCTGTGAGTCCTCAACAGAAACGATTGTTCTCAATTCTGAATTCCCAAGGCCGAGCACAGCACCAGGCATAGAGTTGGCACTTCATGAACATTTGCCAGAGGAGTTTTTTATGTACCAGGTTCTGGGTACTTTTCTTTTTTTTTTTTTATTTTGAGACGGAGTCTCGCCCTGTCGCCCAGGCTGGAGTACAGTGGCCGGATCTCAGCTCACTGCAAGCTCCGCCTCCCGGGTTTACGCCATTCTCCTGCCTCAGCCTCCTGAGTAGCTGGGACTACAGGCGCCCGCCACCTTGCCCGGCTAGGTTTTTGTATTTTTTAGTAGAGACGGGGTTTCACCGTGTTAGCCAGGATGGTCTCGATCTCCTGACCTCGTGATCCGCCCGTCTGGGCCTCCCAAAGTGCTGGGATTACAGGCTTGAGCCACCGCGCCCGGCCAAGAAAACTTTTAAATATGTATCAATTCGTTAACAATAACAAAAATAAACTCATTACACATTAACCATGTTAACATAATGTTCTAAATGAAAGATAACTATATTCCCATTCCCCGAATTAATGAGAGTATGGAAATTATTTTACATTTTTACAAATCTCTTTACTCTCTGGCTTCCAAGGGGACAGCTGGATTCTCAATATCTCCTTCATATTTGATCTGTTGCTTTATGTTGGTTACTGAGACATATGAAGAAAATCCGGTCTCACAACAGGTAAGCAATTGGAAAGATTTATTTATTTATTTATTTATTTATTTATTTATTTATTTAATTTATTTTGAGACAGAGTCTCGCTTGGTTGCGCAGGCTGGAGTGCAGTGGTGCGATCTTGGCTCACTGCAATGTCCGCCTCCCAGGTTCAAGCAATTCTCCTATCTCAGCCTCCTGAGTAGCTGGGACTACAGGCATGCACCACCATGCCTAACTAATTTTTGTATTTTTAGTAGAGATGGGCTTTCACTGTGTTGGCCAGGCTGGTCTCGAACTCCTGACCTCAAGTGATCCATCTGACTTGGCTTTCCAAAGTGCTGGGATTACAGGCGTGAACCACCAAGCCTGGTCTGTCTATAATTATGATTATTATTTGTTTTTTATTTTTTTGAGACAGTCTTGTGCTGTCACCCAGGCTGGAGTGCAGCAGGGCGATCTCAGCTCACTGCAACCTCCGCCTCCGAGGTTCAAGTGGTTCTCTTGCCTCAGCCTCCTGAGTAGCTGGGACTACAGGCATAAGCCACCACACCCAGCTAACTGTTGTATTTTTTTGTTTGTTTTGTTTTTTTGAGATGGAGTCTTGCTCTGTCACCCAGGCTGGAGTGCAGTGACACAATCTCGGCTCACTGCAACCTCCGCCTCCCAGGTTCACACCATTCTCCTGCCTCAGCCTCCCGAGTAACTGGGACTACAGCCGTCAGCCACCATGCCCGGACAATTTTTTATATTTTTAGTAGAGATGGGGTTTCACTGTGTTAGCTAGGCTGGTCTCGAACTCCTGAACTCAAGTAACCTGCCTGCCTTGGCCTCCTAAAGTGCTGAGATTACAGGTGCGAGCCACCATTGCCAGGCCTGGCCTATTTATGATTTTTTTGAGAAAAAATCTGGCTCTATCACCCAGGCTGTAGTGCAGTGACACAATCACGGCTTGGCTCACTGCAGCCTTGACATTCTGGGCTCAAGTGTTCTCTCCACCTCAGTCTCTTCCAGTAGCTGGGACTACACATGTGCACCATCATACCTGGCCTTTTATTTTATTTTTTTAAATAGAGATGGTGTCCCACTATGTTGCCTAGGTTGGTCTCAAACTCCTAGGCTCAAGCTACCCTCCTGCCTCAGTCTCCCAAAGTGCTGGAATTACAGGCCTGAGCCACTGTGCCTGGCTGATAATTGGCAGTTTCTTAAGGGGCAGTTGCAATGTAGAACCTGAAATGATATCAATGACGTTTTTGTACTGTTAAACTAAAATCCATTGTTTTGGCTGAATGCGGTGGCTCACGCCTGTAATCCCAGCACTTTGGGAGGCCAAGGTGGGTGGATCACCTGAGGTCAGGAGTTTGAGACCACGCTGGCCAACATGGTGAAACCCTGTCTCTACTAAACCTACAAAAATTAGTCAGGTATGGTGGTGGCACACGCCTGTAATCCCAGCTACTCAGGAGGCTGAGGCAGGGGAATCACTTGAACCTGCGAGGCGAAGGTTGCAGTTAGCCGAGATTGCACCACTGCACTCCAGCCTGGGTGACAGAGCAAGACTCCGTCTCAAAAAAAAAAAAAAAAAAAAAAAAAAAAAAAATCCGTTTTTCTGAACTGCACCTTGATTGGATCTTTTACCCATGCATGATTTTGTAACACTGTGCATTGGTCATATGGAAAATAATTGATTCACTGAGCTATGCAAATCTTCCAAATATTAATGTTTCATTATACATTATTTTAAAAATCACAATAGGTTTCAGGCCAGGCGTGGTGGCTCATGCCTTTAATCCCAGCACTTTAGGAGGCCGAGGTGGGTGGATTGCCTGAGCTCAGGAGTTTGAGACCAGCCTGGGCAACATGGCAAAACCCTGTCTCTACTAAAAATACAAAAAGTTAGCTGGGTGTGGTGGCGGGCGCCTGTAGTCCCAGCTACTCAGGAGGCTGAGGCAGGAGAATTGCTTGAACCCAGGAGGTGGAGGTTGCAGTGAGCTGAGATTGCACCACTGCATTCCAGCCTGGGCAACAGAGTAAGACTCTGTCTCAAATAAATAAATAAATAAGAGCTGAGATTGCACCACTGCATTCCAGCCTGGGCAACAGAGTAAGACTCTGTCTCAAATAAATAAATAAATAAATAAATAAATAAAATAAAATAAAATAAAAAATCACAATAGGTTTCAACAGTAAAGTCTTTGTTTTTCTTCATAGTATTATACTGGAGAACAGTAAAGTCTTTAAGTTTTAAATTTTGGAAAGCTGTGAAGCTCATGTAGCAAATACAAGTGTTCCAAAATTCGATTTTTCACTTGAAAGCCTGAACTGTATCATTGGCAGCAAACACTGTCAGATTTTTCCCTGAAGTGACAGACTCACTTTGTTCCTTTTTATAAAAGTTCTGCCAGCTACCTAAGTCTGATAACCAGTTTGTCGGTCATTCTTTTGAGTAAACGTGGCATTCCACAAGCAAGCAGCTAGTTCAGCTCAGAACTCAAAGAATAGTCTGAGTTATTTCCTCCTGAAAACCATCATACCTTGGTATGCAAAATGCCTTATGCATACTTCCCACTTTATCAGACAGAATGTTGAAAAGACTTTTCCTGCAGGATTAAGGTTTAATTAAATTAATACATTTAGGCTGGGCGTGGTGGCTCACGCCTGTAATCCCAGCACTTTGGGAGGCTGAGGCAGGCAGATCACGAGGTCAGGAGTTTAAGACCAGTCTGGCCAACATGGTGAAACCCCGTCTCTATTAAAAATACAAAAATTAGCTGGGCATGGTGGCATGTGCCTGTAATCCCAGCTTCTCAGGAGGCTGAGGCAGAATTTCTTGAATGGGGACCCAGGAGGTGGAGGTTGCAGTGAGCCGAGATCATGCCACTACACTCCAGCCTGGGCTACAGACCGAGACTCCGTCTCAAAAAAAAAAAAAAAAAAAAAAAAAATTATTTTTTACTTCATCAAGTACATTTTTTTTGAGTCTTGCTCTGTTGCCCAGGCTGGAGTGCAGTGGTGTGATCTCAGCTCACTGCAACTCTGTGTCCCAGGTTCAAGCAATTCTGGTGCCTCAGCCTCCCGAGTAGCTGGGATTACATGTGTGCGCCACCATCCCCAGCTAAGGAAAATAATGTCTTGGTATTGTTATGAAAATAATTTTGACCTATGGACCCCTGAAAAGGTCTTAGGGAACCCTAGGGGTCTGAGGACCACATTTGAAGAGTTGCTGGTCTAATGGGTTTTAAAGCCTCTCCCCAGATGGCTCCCAAGGTATCACTAGTGAGAAGTACGTGATTGGACCCAGTTCCTGAGGACATGACAAGGAAATGGTAACAGGAGTAAGCAGCTGTCCTGGGCTCATAGCTGGAGTTCAGAGTCTGGACTACCACTTGT